TCCGCATCTTGTACAGCAATTAACCACTAAGAAGAATATATGCAGTATATTATTTGTTGAAACTGTACTACCGATTTGATTTGAAACTGTCTCATTGCTATCTCTTTATCAATAAAACTTTGAAAAAAAATGAATTTCAAATGAACCATGAACTAGATTTACTGTGCGTCTAAAGCAGGTAAGGCCAAGCCCACAAATTTCTCTGTAAGTACTTTAAAACAAGGACTGGGTGGGGCAAGCTCTTAGACTTGACATGAAAAGGGTCAACTCAGAAAATAATTAAAACCAGCTCTGTGATAGAGAACATGAAGAGAATAAAAAGACAAGAATTTTAACACGTTTTGAGCATGTCCTTCTGAGGGTGACTGGTTAAACAACATGTAGTGCACATATATCATGAAATACTACTCAGCCATGCAAATGAGTGAATTAGTGACACAAAACAACCTCGATGAATCTCTGGAGAGCTAGACTAAGACGACTTTCCATAGCCACACGTGCTGTGCAACAATTCCAATCACAAATCAAAATTATTTTCCTACTGAACGTGTACTGACTTTTTTCTTGTCACTATGCCCCCAACAACACGGCTCAACAACTAGTTTCACAGCATATACATTGTTGTAGGCGTACACCAGAGGATGTGTGTGGGTCAAGTGAAAACAGCATGCCATTTTATAGTAAGGATTTGAGCATGCTTTAGTTTCTTCAGGGGTCCTGGGACAAATCCGCTTGGAAATAACAAGAAGCAACTTTTTTTTTTAAGACCAAGTTACATAGTGTCTGATTGCATTTATGTGGCAAAGTGAAATGACCCCATTTTGGAAATGGAGAAGAGATGCTTGCTTTTTAGAAGTGAGGGACAATGGGTTGGGTTAGAAGAGGAATCAGGCATCAGAAGGTAACACAAACCCCTATACTTTGGGGGTTCTGTATCTTTACAGTTGCAATAGACATAAGAGCTGTAGCGGTGACAAAATTGTCTAAAATTAAGTGCTCACAGGAATGGATGCAAGTAAAACTAAGTCTGAATAGTTTGGTAAATTCTATCAATAGTCTGGCTTTTATACCCTACAGCAATGAAAGAAGCTGTGGAGAGAAACTGGGAAAATGATACCCAAATTTCTTTGTACTATTTATTATAACTATATGTGAATCTACAAAGATCTCCAGAAATTTTTTCACTAAAAGTAACATTTTTGTTTTTATATTTACCTCACATTTTAATAAAAACTTGCAAATATAGAAGAAAAGAGATCAGAAAAGTCACCATCCTAAAATGCAATCTTTTGGCAATCATTGTTTTCTAGACAAATCTGAAAAAAAACTATGAGGGAAGGTGCCAAAACTCAGGATAATGGGTGGGTGGAACCTTTCTGTCCCCTGTCTTCTGTGACATCAGACTCATGCCTGAAGGATGCCAGGTGACCAGGTGTGGGGAGGTGCATCTGCCTGTCCACTGGGGACACCTTGTGGTCCCCAGGCCACCAGCCCTGAGGACATGGAATTCCAACAGATGGATGGCGGGTCGAGGGTGGCCACTCAACCGTTTGACCAGAGAAGGGGCAGCCACTGTGAGGACAAGAAGCAGGTAAGGCCAGGCCCAGTGAGGCTGTTTTCCTGCTAAATTCTCTTCACCACTCTGGGCAGACCGTAAGACTGTGGCAAACAGAGCAGGCCTTCCACTGACCTTCCCCTATCCCAGCAGTTTGGGGGCTTCCTCGCCATGCTATTACCATCACTCTCCCCTTAACCCTCAGCAACACCAGTAGAAGGTCTGCATTTCCATGAGGACTGGGGCTATTTGCTTAGTTTCCTGCTAAATTCCTAGTGCCTTAAATGGTACACAGTGCATAGCAGGTACCCAATGAATCAATGAATCAATGAATGAATAAATGAATGTCCATAAATAGGATAAAACACCTGAATTGGATAGCTCCCAGGTGATTCATTCACAGGACTTAAATTCAAACCTGTTTCAAATTTGTCAAAATGGAAAACGTACTTGCTGTATACAGCCTGGTGTCCACCCCTCTGTCTTTCTTGATCTACAATGTTTCTAAGAGATACACGCTATCAATCCCATTCACAGATGGGTAAACTGAGGCTCAAAAAGACCTTAGAGCCATGTAGCAGGGACAAATCAGGATTGGAAGGCAGGTCCTTCTGATTCCAGAGCCCCAAGCAGGAAGCCCTGTGGACTCCACTACTTCAGGCAAAGGGGAGGGGTGTGAAAGAAGCAGAAACTCTGTTGTACCCTGCATTAGAGACAGGGTAGGACTTTACTCTGAGGGTAATAAGCAATTGAAAGTTTTAATCAGAGTAATGGTTGGTCCACACATGCTTTCAAATTTGTTCATTCTTCCACTGAGGGTACATGTGCCACGGGCCTCTTGTACGTGGCACCATAAGGTAGATCATATGCAGCGGATGACGAGGATTGATGGCTTCCCATCACACCACTGCTTTTCCTGAAAAGGGTCCCAAGAGTGCCAAACCCCAGAAATGTTCCTTTTACAAAACTCATGAAATTTCACACCCCTACTCTAAGTGAAACGCACACTATACAAGGTATAAATGGATTCAATAGGAAATTTTAATCACTGTATGTATGTCCACAAGTTTTCATCAATAAATTCATTCATTTAAGGCAAAAAAGTAATACCAATCTCACAAAATTCTTCCACAAACAGGATGAGGGGATTCTTACCAACTCATTTTAAGGGACAAGGTATAATTTACTACCAACGCTGGGGAGATAGCTTGGTGGTCTGAGTGTCTGCCTGGCAAGCTCAAGGACCTGAGTTCAATCCCTGATACCACATGCTGTGCTGGCCACCAAAACTGGGCATGGTGGCACACACCTGTAATTGCAGTTCTGGGTAGGCTGAGACAGGAGGATCACTAGGAATCTGAGCTACATGGCAGAGACCCTGTATCAAATAAATAAATAATTTTTTTAAAAAATTTATTACCAAAATACATCAAACTTATAGGAAAAAAGAACCCAATCTCTAAAGGCAGATGTGAGAAATAAATTATAACACAATAGTAGCAAATTGAATCCAGCAATACAGCCTACCTTCCACATCTGCCAGTTCAGCATCTGAGAATTTAACTAGTGGGTCAAACAACACCTGCAAAACTTGTTTTTCATGACATATGCTTTGTAGTTAGGCCTACAATGGCTTCACTTGTACTGAACAGGTACACATAATCAAGATAACTCTACTACTAATTTCTATTCATTGAAAAGAAAGGGTTGTGCTTATATCATTTGATCAATTTTTAATGTCTATATCTTGTAATCTAAGAAACTACCTTTCAGCTAACAATAAACAATGCGCTAATAGCGGTTACTCTCCTAGCTTATTTTGCAATTTTGCATCATTGTTTTTAGTGCTTTTTCTCTTTATAATAAAAAAGCATTGTTAAGAGACATTAAAGAATATGTAATGGAGTGACATACCATGTTCATAATTCACAAGATACAACCATTTCTGTTAAATTTATCTATGTAGTTAATATAGTACCAGTCAAAACCCCAGCAGTTTTTTTCCTAATAGAATTTGAAAAAGAAGGTTGTAAAATACATACACATAGATGAAAATACAAAATATGCAGAGCAGCCTAGACAAATGCGAAAAATAACAAAGTTGTAAACAATACAGGGGATCAGAGAGATGACTCAGTAGAATAAGCGCTTCCCTGGCAAATGCAAGGGCTTGAGTTCAATCCCTGGTTCCACAAAAAACAAAAAAGGAAGAAAAGAAAAAAACAAAGAAAACAATACGGTATCTGATTTCAAGCTTTGCAATGAGGCAACAGTAGTCTACACGCTGTATATTAAATAAAATAGGTATGTAAATCAATGGAATGGAATAGTGATCTTGCAATGCTTATGGAGAGAACTGTGTCCTCAAACTTCACATGCTGAAGTCCTAGCCCCAAAGTGACTATATTTATGGATAAGTTTATTAAGGAGGTAAAAAGAGGGTGTGACCCTAACCCCACAGTACTGACATGCTTTTAGGAAGAGACAGCAGAGATGTACAAACCAGAGGAAAACTCAGTGTGGTGACGCAGTAAGAGACGGCCACCTGCAAGCCAAGTAGACAGACCTCCCCAGCTCCAGAACTGGGGGGATGTACATTTCTATTCTTCAAGGCATCTAGTTTGTGGTCAGTGCTAGCATATACAGATTAATACAGATTTAGTATTTTTCTATTTTTATTTTAAAGAGAAAGAAAACCATAAAATGACACAATTTCAAAAAAAAGGTGATAAGAAATTAACAATGGTTATTATCTTGTATATGGTTATCCTCAAAGTAGTTGCTCAGATTACCAGGTATAGGCATGCAAAATAGATCAAACAATATAAGCATCAACTATTCCTTTCAATGGACTCATGAAAATTAGTAATATATTGGTGCAAGCATATATGGTGTGATCAAAAACTTCAGTGAATGCTTAATTTTTTAATTTTATTATAAGACTGGGCATGGTGATCCCAGCACCTGGGAGGCTGAAAACAGGAGTATCACTACGAGTCCAATCTATATAGTAAGACCCTGCAGACCCTGTACTAAATACATAAAAAAAAAATTATAGTAAGACACTATCACTAGTCTTACTTAAAATACTTCCCCTTACTTGGAACACACTTATTACATCATCCTTGCCACTTTCTGAAGCACTTCTGGAAGTCCTCTCTCATGAGTATTTTGAGTCGGACTGTCATGGCTGCCTCAATAGCCTGAACTGATTCAAAACTCTACCTTTCAAGACCATTTTGACTTAGACCCAAAAGTCAAAACAATGATCAGCCGAGTAGGAAAGTAGGTGATGACACACAGTAATGTGTGTGTTTGACTGAAATAGCTAAAAGCATTTTGAATTGATTCAGGGCATAGAAGTGGCCATGAAAAGACAAAAGAGAACTTTCAGAATTGCTTCAGGAAGTAGTAAAAACCATGGGATAAGTGTGTTCAAAGCAAGGAGTACATTTGAAGGGGATTCGTGATAATGTGTCTTATTGTAGTAATTTTTTAAATTTCAACATTCACCATAATTTTTATCATACTTCATAGATATGATGTAAATCACAATAATATCCAGAAAGAGTCCAACAATATAATGGACATATTTTTGCAAAGACACCAATGTAATCCAAAGAGGAAAACTTAGTATTTTTAAAGAAATAAAATGAAGCTAGATATATACATGAAAAAAATATCTCAATCCCTATTGTGCATTACATATAAAAATTTAAATGAGTTATAACTTAGTGTAAAATCTAAAATAAAAAATGTCTCAAAGAAAGCAAGAGGGGGAAAAAAAGAAAGAAAGCAGGAGAAAATTACAACTTTAAAATAAATAAAATTTCTAAGCTTCACACAAAAAGCACAAAAAAAAGGAAAACTTCTGATTAATTGAACTCTATCAAAACTAAAACCTTTTGATTTTCAAGATACTGGTAAGAAAATGCAAAGACAGGCCCAGCAAGATAGCTCAGTGGACTAAGCACCTGCTTAGGCAAGCACACAGACCAGGGTTCGATCCCCAGCACCACATGCTGGATAGGTTCCCACCCCCAGGCGTGCTAAGCCGGCCACTGAGTCAGGGTGTGGTGGCGCACAGTTGTAATCCTAGCACTAAGGAGACTGAAAACAAGAGGACTGCTACCAGTCCAAACTGCATAGTGAGACCTTGTACTAAATGCATTTTTTAAAAAATCACATGTATGTTTATAATATTTTTGTTCTTGATAGCACAAAAGCAGAGCCAATCCAATAGTGCATCAATAGGTGAAGAGATTGTACTATATTCACCCATCACAAATACTCATCCAGAAAACTGAATGCGCAAAAGCATGAAGGCATTAGAAAGTGTGTCAGGCAGAAGGAAATAAACACAAAGGCACATGTACCATGTAATTTCACTTATCTGAAGCACAGAAGTGGTCCCTCCACGAGGCTGGGGTAAGGAGAACGGGTGCAGGGGCCACAAAGAAGCTTTCTAAAGGGGCGAAAATGTTCCTGATCTTCACTGGGGGCTACTCCACAGATATAGACATTTGTCAAAACTCATCAAACTGCACATTTAAAATGTGCACATGCATTGTATATAAATTATGCTGCAATAAAACTGATTCATCTTAAAGACTGAGTTAAGTGAGAAATTTAAAAGTTATTCCAGGAAGAAGGGCAGAGGTGGTCTTCCTCCTGCAGAAGAAAGAATGGAGGAAAAACAAATGTCAGCAAGTTGTCATGTCATGTATTCCTGCAATTTTTTTTTTTTAGCAAGCAAATAGAACTTAGATCACCCTAGAAATAAAATTGGGCTCTAAAGCTGTCCTGTAGCTCTCCCATGCCTGGCCCTGTTGGGGATGCAGGGGAGACAAAGGACCTGGAACTCACACTCCATTCCCTTCCCTTCTCCTTTTCTTGCCCCCAGACGCTGTTCACATTGCTGGTCTTAGTGCTGTACTTGGGCACAGGGTTGTCAGGTAAGCATGCCAGAGTCTGAGAAGGGAGAAGCCAAGCACACACAACCAGGTAGGGATTCTAGACTGACGTCTGCCAAGAGGCCCCCCACCTACCTTCTGCTCCACTTCCCCAGGAGAAGACCAATGGGGTTTATTTCAACTGCCACTCACAGGCCCTTGTTAAGAGGCAGTGTTTGTGTCTCTTGCAGGAAGAAGCTGGGAGGTGTATGAAAGAATCAGGGAATGTAACTACTCCCAGAACCCTGTTGCTGCCCAGGTAACATATTCAGGAACTCAACCAGGAAACCCTAGAGGTGTGGGAACCAGGAAAGCTTTCCAGGTAAAGCTTCCACTGGCAAGCTGGATTGGGAGAGATGAAAAGGAGTTGGCCAGGTGGAGGAGGTTGGGGTGTGGCCTCCAGGCAGAATGAATAACATGGGAAAAGGCCCAGAAGCTCTCTGAAACCAGAAAGCTGAGCAGAAAATGTCAAGATAAAACTTTGGTGTCTGCCTTTCAGGGGTGTGAGTATCACACCAGAGAACCCTCTGAAGAGCCAATCAAGCTCCTCAGGACCTGGCTGAAGAAGAGCTTGCATGTTTTCTTGGAGAAGTTAGAGAAAGAAGTGCAGGAGCTGGAGCAGCTAGTGCAGGACGTGGAGCTATGGCTAGATGTTTTTCTTGGAGAGCCTTACCTGGAAGAGGGCTGCTCCGGCCTCAGAAGTCCCGTGTGAGGACCTGGGACCTGGGAAGCAGAAAAGTGGGAAATGGGAAAGGGAGGATGAGCTCTGATATTTGAAGTTTGAGGCAAGAAAGAAAATAAAATGTTTGGGAAATGGAGTCCACTGTTCATGAATGCTGACAGGAACCGCCTCAGGAGGACACAGGAGATAGTCTCGCTGGCACCGTATCTGGCTCCCTGGGGCCAACACAGGCCTCACAACCAACCACGACATCAGATTCCTGCTCCACCGACTTGATATGCTGTGCAAAGTCCCTCTGGGACTCAGTCTTCTCATTTGCAAAAGACAAGAAACACACTTTGCCTCAGACAGTGGTAGAGTCTCTCTGGAGTGTAAAATGAGATAACTGGCAAATACAGTGCTACCTCAGTTCATGAACTTAATTTGTTCCATGATTTTGGAAAAGATGGCTGTGTTTGTGTTTATGTTTGTGTTTGTGTGGGAAAGATGGCCATGGTCAGGTTGTCACCGGACACAGATCTTGCAAACAAAAATCAAAGTTTGCCAAATACTTCTGTTTGTAAACAGAATTGTTTGCCAACAAAAGTGTTTGTGAACCTTGGTCCCCTGTAGTAAGTGCCTAGTGCTCCCCTTCTTCATTTCTCATCCAGTATTCCTTCCTCCTTGGGCGGAGCAGGAGGATCATGGTTTTGAGTCATAGATGTTAGTGGCCCTCAACCGTGCAGCATAGATTGCGAGAGCCCTGATGCAGGGGAACTGAGCAGCGGTCTTCTTATATATAATGGGGTATTATTCAGCTATAAAGACAGACAAACTTGAGGATTTTATATGTAAATGGATGCAACTAGAGACCATAATCACAAGTGAAATAAGTAAGATTCACATCTGTAATTTGTAAGATCCAAAAGGTACAATAGCTATCATGAAAGAAAACTATTCAAAAGGAAAGAACAACTGGAATGGGGGAAAGAAAAAAAGAAAGAAGGAGGGAACACACACACACACACAGATAGCTAAGATAATTATACTACTAATTTCTGTTCATTGAAAGGAACAATTAGTACTTATATTGTTTGACCAATTTTTCATGCCTATATCTGGTCATCTGAGCAACTACTTTGAAGCTAACAATATGCAATATAATAACCATGGTTAATTTCCTCTATCATCTTATTCTGAAATTCTGTATTATTTTTATTTTCTTTAAAGTAGCTACCCAATCTGTAAATGCATGTCATCTTCAGCCCCGCAGCCTGCTTTAGGTAATCTGTCCCACAGTTATGCATGCACGTGTGTTTCCCCCTAGCCTTGTTTACAGCACCATAAATAAATGGAAGCAGCACAAATGATATCAGCAGGGCTCTTGTTAACAAAACTAAGACATAGCCAAAGAGTGAGCTACCTACCGTATCACTATGGCCAAGAATGAGGAAGGTTCCTGCTGTAGTCTAAATATTGGTGTTTCCCCAACATGCATATTTTGAACCCTAATGGCCAGTATTATTGTAAGAAGATTCAAGACTGGATTGCAGGAAGCGGGTAGGTCTGCAGGGCACCACCTTTAAGAACTGGATTAGCATGAACCTACTATTAAAAATTGCCATCTTCATTGCAGTTGCTTAGTTCACAGGTGTCAGGATATATAAAGTTAGTCAGAAATGTTATATGGTTAGATTTCTGAACTTATGTGTAAACATATATAATTCTTTATTCCTATTTTTTAAATATATTTTAATTTTTTAAATTTTTTTCTCCATATTCTGTAGGAACTTAAAGTTTAACATATCAATACTGGATGAAAAATACCTGTTCTATGTTATGCCTGAGATGTTTGATATTCAGACAGATAGTATGGTTGAGTTCACCAGACAAGGTTGTATGGTAATAACAATAAGCTTTTCTTCTGGAGGGTTAACAACCTAAGTTTGCAGACCAAAAATTAGAGAAAAAGGAGGGCCACAAGGAAAGCCAACATTTTGGCCCTAGCATTCCAAGGTCAATTAAGACTCAGGGCATATGAGAACTTGTACTGTAACATCATATAACTCGGTAGAGTCCCAAATTTTCTGATCAAGGAGATTATGGGGCCAAAGAGGAAAGTGATTGATGACATAGAGTGTGCCTAAGGAGAGTGACATGGAGAGAAAACATTCAGGCTTTCACAGACAGCAAATTGGCCAAGCAATGGCCGTAACTCATCCATATGGCTGACACTGACAAATTTATATTCCTATAAATCTTCCCATCTACAATCTGAGGTACAGGATCTCAGGATAAATCCTGAGGGGATTTCACTGACTTTATCAGATACAAAAGCTACAATTCTTCTTACATAGGTCTTGCTTTATCTTGGTCTTAACCATCCAGCAGAAAAATATAAAAAGGATGTATAAGAAGTAAAGCCATGGTCTTATGTTGAGCTGTAGGGGACTCAGGTCAACACCTTCTGACATTGCCAGTCAAGCGGAAGACCCAATACTATTACAGACTACTGAGCTCTTTTGGAATATTTTGCTGAGTTCATACACCTATAATATTTAAATGACGGAACTAAACAAAAAAGGGGATACAGATGAATGACCATTTTGTATCTGTGTATTCAAAATGGTTAGGATAGATATATAGCTGCATTCTCTTAATTCAATGAATAAAGAGATTTGTTCTAATAGTGTTTGTAAATAGGATATCATGTTTGCATCTTGTACAATAACAAATATTTACAAATGTAAATATTTTGTGTAAATGTACAAATATTTACATAGGAAGGGAGTATGCAATGTATTAATTATTGGAACTGTCCTACCAATTTGATTTTAAACTGTCTCATTGCTATTTATTTCTCAATAAAATTATGGAAAAAAAGAAAATAATTTATCAATAATGTATAGCCTTGTCTTAAATATACTCTTTATATAGAGTACCATACTATATGTGCCTTTAAGCAACATGCCTGCTATGATTTTGTGATTTAGTCACATTAATCTGTAACTGTTGCATAGTATTCTATTGTACCAACATATCAAATTCACCTGTTGATCAACATAGGCTATGTCTGATTTTTAATACTGAAGAACACTAATGAGTATTCCTATAAATCTTCCCATTGGTTATGTAAATTGCAAATGTCTTCCCTTGATCTGTCTTTTAATAGTTTATAATGTATCTTAAACATGAAATTTGTCATTTTGATAAAGGCAGATTTATTTTTTAAAAAAGAAGAAGAACTGGGTTAGCATCCTTGTAACAGAGGCTTGACCAGGGCTGGGTGCCCTTCTGTCATAGGACGACACAGGTAGGAGTCCTCTGTGAGGAACAGAGCCTCATTAGACCCCAAATCTGCTGGTGCAGCGATCTTGGGCCTCCCAGCCTCCAGAACCATAAGCAAGATATTGCTGCTTACACAGTACCACACTAACATGCTGTGGTACAGCAGCCCAAATGGACTTCCTCTCTACTGATACTGAAATCCTGAAAGGTGTTATTAAATGAAGAAAATCAAGGTGAAAAAAGAAAATGGAAAATAAGCACCTATATTTTATTGCTGTTGCTGATAAGACGGTTGAATATGCATTAAACCTCTACAAGAATACAACAGTGGGAGTATTCAGGTTGCAAACAAGGACTAGAATATAGCATATGCAAACAAAAGCAACAGGATAGCTATGATAAAATTATGAATGACAGTGTTTTTAAACAGTATCAAGAGAAAACATCTCTTTCACTAATTTATATGATGACACATTTATCATTTTTTCCAGGAATTTCTCCTTCCCCCATTATATACAGGAAACTTAAGTTTAGTTGTTCTTTTGGAACAATTACTTGATTGGAATCATGCCGACCTCACTGCTTTGAGTTATTTAGTATCCCCTTTTTATGATTTTTGTTTTCTACTTTAATGGAGTTATTGTATATGTGCCTATTATTAGAGCTACTGAGCTCTTTGGAAAACCATGAGCATTCAAATTAAACTAATCGCAGAGGCTATGTGTCTTACAGGGAATGAATGGCATGGGGACTTGCTTTCCTGGAAGAATTAGCCAATTGCCATTTGGAAAGTAGAAGTCTCGCAAATTATGATCCATTTTTCCATTTTGAATATTTGGCAAGGGATGGGAAATAGAATCTGCATTTTCTCACTCACACCTTTTTAGCAAGAGTTTTATGGGAAGGGATTGATACTTCCTTGCATTTATAGTTACATATTACCATATAGGGTTGCAGTTATATTGAATCAAAGCCACGCATATGTGTTCTACAGGTACTTTAAAGGATTCTCAGGTAAAATTGGTTTTTTTCCCTCAGGTATAATTGTGACTATGCACAATTTTCCCTTACACATCTAAGTAGAAATTCTATTTTATCTACAATATACATATGTGTACGTATGTTTATATTTTATATTATATATTTTTATATTCTACATATTGAGCACTCCTAATCCAAAAATCTAAAATGAAACCTAAAATGCTTCCAAATCTGAAACTTTTAAGCACCAACATAATGCCACAAATAGAAAATTTCATACCTGACCTTATGAGAGAAACAATAATCAAAAATCAGGAACACTAAAAATACTATATAAAGTTACCTCCAGGCTATATGTATTAGCTGTATATGAAACACAAGTGAATTTCACATGTAGACTAGGGTCCCATTCCCAAAACAGCTTATTTTGTATATACAAATATTCCAACATTTATAAAAAATCTAAAATTTCATATACTTTTGGTACCAAGCATCTCAGAGAAGGACAATTAACCTGCATATAAAATAGACTTCATATGTGTGTATATAAATTTAGAGATGGATTTTAATAAAAGGAAACAGGCTAGATCCTTGAGGAATTGAACAACCACTGTAGACACAAACTTGTGAGCAAAGGCATTAGCTTCCTGGCTATGGCCCCAGGCACCCACAAATACACAAGGGACCTAAGAGCAGCCCATGCTGGTATGAAACACTTCCATTATGTTGGCTTGTGAGCCTGTAAAGAACAGCAAGGGCCATAAGATAACTATGCAATGAGAGCTTATGGTGGTCCAACAAGACAGCCACAATCTCC